ATCGCAGGCGCCGCAATATATACAGTAAACTCCTGAACAGTCCAATTTGTCTACTCTATTGTGTTGCGTTGGTAGACTTGTGAAAAGTATTGATTGTTCTTTCCATTTCCTCAATATTGGCCGTATTTTTTGAGTTAGTCTGCAGGAAGGTAGGCATATCCATTCCTGTAAATCCTTCATCGTCCTTACCGTTCTTTCATAGTCCTCGTTTTTGCGGTCCTTATGTTTCTTTGTATCACTTCGCATGGGGGCCATCGCCGAGGAATATCCTCGTCAATTTGTCCAGCTCCTCCTCCCAGAATTCTACATCCGTTAGGCGTAGGCTTCGGATGAACATGCTCCTCATTATTCCAATCTTTAGCCTGCAATTGTGATGGGACCGGAAATTGAGTACTATCCCATGATAAGACTTCTTTCTGGACAATTTCTTTTTGAGGATCCCATTATAACGAATCATTTCAGTGTCCAGGAACGGTAACCGCTCACCTTCCTCTACTTCCATCCTTAATTGATTTTTTTCATCAATTTGATTTGCGAACTCCAGAAACTCATCCAGTTTTACTCTTCTATGTGACCAAAGTGTGAAGTAATTATCCAAGTACCGTATGAGTACTCCCGGTTTTAGAGGTGCCATCTTGAAGCTCTCTTCTATTTTGTTCATGTATACGTTTGCCAAAAGTGGTGAGAGCTGCGATCCCATGTGAAGTTCGAATATTTGTTCATAGATCTTACCGTTAAATGTCAAGTTGATTATTCTTGATAAGGACTCCCTACCGATCCGTTGTGATTCTAGTATATCCTCCTCTCGGTCCAGCATTTCCAGCAGGGCCGCTAGCGCATTTTCTCCAGAGATATTTGTTTACATGGATACCACATCGAAACTTACCAATAAGTCTGTATCTTTAAGTTCCATGTTTTTTATTTTTTGAAAAAATTCCTATGCATGTTTCACCGTGTTACATAGCCTTTCATTTAATTTCTTGAGTTTCCAAATCAATACAATTTGGAAAAACAAAAATTTATTGCAATGAATGTGCAAGAGAGCAAGTAATTAGAGAAAAATGCAACGAATTTCGTGCCTTTTAGTTCGCCGTGTCCTAGTCGCCCCAAACGGCCAATCACCAGCCGCCATGGGTTTGAACTCTGTCCAATCAGGCTTAGGATGAAATCCCATAGGCGCGCCAATCCAAGGCGTCGCGGGCTAATTGCCAAACCGAGTCGCCTGCTGGCATCTGCATGTTCACGACCCAAAACGCTGCTCTCTGAACTTAAAAGTTTTTTGAAGTCGCGTCTTGATCCTATGCCACCAGGACCTAGACCAAAATCAAGTCCGAGTCCGACACCGGAGGCCCCAGCCGGATGGCTAGATGCTGAATTTCCAGGCGTGGTGTGAAAACGACGTGTAGCCAGATCAAAAAGAAGACCTTGAGGCAATCGTAGGTTGATGCAAATTTGTTCAAGCATGTGGCCCTGCTCATCTGTACAGCTCGCCAACAACCACTGTTGGTCTGGTGATAGACAATAGGCGACAAAAAGCACAGCCGAGCGATCGAGCGGTTCTGATGGAGGAAGGTCCCACTGACCCCATAGGTCGCGGGAACTTGCCAGTGCGTATGGTGGAGAATAGATGCGACGTGCGTGCCAATCCTGCTCAGGACGGGAAACATTGGAGAAGACAGTTAAAGAAAGAATAGAATTAGGTGACATCATTTTTAAGTGACACTATGATCCTCTTGTTTTTACAGTTTGAAACCTGTCTCCACTGAGCTTGCTTGAATTTCTCTTTTACAGACTTCGAAGTGAATTCGATTAGGTGTATAAGGAAGCAATGAATAAGAGGGGAATTTGCTTCTTTTCAAATAAGATAAAAATACAATTTCATCGAAAGGTTGATCAGTAGATATGGGCATGAGTGGGGTGGGTAAACATATTTTTATTAAATGAAAAATACCTCCATAGTTCGCGAAATATGCTCCTTCTCTGCTGCTGGTCCGAGGCCAGTCAGGGTGCGGTTGGCGTTAATCAAGCTAGGTCGGATGTACCGACTAACTTCGGTGTAGACGGCTAATGAGAGTGCTCTAAGTCTAGGTAAATAAGAAGCAGGCCCACCGATTATCACGTGTTCTAGAGGAAGCAGTTGAATAGAGACTCGAGGCCTCCATGTCTCTGGCAAACTGGTAAGAATGCGACGAGCGAGACCGATCAGTGCCTGCATTACGAGACGACAAACTGCTTCATTTAGGTCACACAACTGAAAGAGAAAATAAAGCACATAAGATTAAAAAAAGGTTGTTAGATAAGTAAATATGGAAGCTAAATGCATTGAACATTGAATAAATAGGTTACAAGAGAAAAATGTACACATAAGATCAATTTATTGACAATGAATAAGGTATGGTTTTAGCGGAGCATGGATGGAAGTGAGTCGGTGTGTGAATGGCTAGTTGGATGGTTGATGGGAACCTTAAAAATAATAGAACAAAAAACGGAGGGGATAGACGGATTGTAAAATGGTAAAGTAGGGCTGCTAAACGAAGAAATGGGGTGACAAATTGGATGGAGAGCTCAAAGAGGATGATTTAGGAATGGAATGTGGGGAACAATCTAATGAAGAGGGCTCTGAAAAGCGATAGTAATACTTACCTGTAGTGCTTCTCTTAATTTATGGCTCTTAAATTATCTAAGGAGAAATATTCTGATTCAGTTTAGCCATTTGACTATGAAAAAGAAAAAGTCGAAAGATATTGAATGGAGTTCCATGCAAGTATAATTGAAAATAAGGGAATCAGGTGCGCAAGTTGTCGTGTTTAATACAAAAACTTATATATACACTATCATTAGGTTGATAAGCTATTCGAAAAACATTATGTTGTTTAGTATGAGATGAACTCACCCTATTTCGTTTAAGGTGTTGAAGGACTGTTAGTTAAATTTTCCCACAATGATCTCAATAGAGCTGACGTTTCCATTGAATTTCACATAGCCTTGCTTTCCCAAAAGTTGTTCTCATTCAGGGTGGAC